TCACCATCATTGGTCCTCATTATTATTATTATTACTACTTATTAGCCCCCCATTTCTCAAGGTTTTGGATACAGCTTTTTTATGTTTAATCCTCTAGACTTGTGACCTATATAATACATGAGGTACAAATGGATGCAATATCATTGTAAATATTATGATTAAAAGATAAAAAAATATCAATTTAATTGGAAATACAGTTAATTTGGAATGTCCACTAGAAGTTCTATGATCTTCTTGTGCCCAATAGTGATGATTCCAAAAAGAAGTAGTTTACTGACCACCAAAGTCTAAAAAAGCTCATAACCATATAAATAGAGTTTTTAAAATATAATACATATTCAATACTCCAATATTCAACTCCATCATATAAGGAAGGAACTTTGTGGTATAAGATTTCAAATGTTCTCACAATGATGCATGCCAAAATAAATAAATAAATGAAGACATAATACAAACAACAACAAGAAAACACAATACAAAGATAAATATATATATATATATATAAATAAAAAAAGAACCAAATGGTAGGAAAATATATGATGTTGTAATGAAAATAGTTTCATTTTAATTTTGAATATTGATACGAAAATAGTCCATAATAAACATGCAGAACTGATTGATTATAAATTTTTTTTACTTCGTCAGATTATTTTCTTTTTATTCCAACTCCAATTAAATGCGATTCTTAAAATATTATTATTTATTATATTCTACTTTTTTATATTCAATGTTATAAATATAATTAAATAATAAAAATTTAACTATCACCACACAATTTTCAACAATATTCACTATTTACCAACACATATTATAGAATATCATCATTCATATATATGGATATCTAGCTTAATGATTACACTTTATCACACATATCATTCACAATTTCAAAATTCATCGATCTTTTTTTTACTTAACTTTTCCAACATATATTATTATTTCAAAACTGATTTTTCATACTTTTTTTAAATAAAAAAAATAAAATTATCAATTTATCGTAATGCACATAAATATAAAATTTTTATACAGTAAATATTTCAAAATTATCAAGTAAACATATTTCACATGTAAATATAATTTTTTTTATGTCGACCAGTTTAATAATTCCGCCTAGCCCAAAATTTTGCGTAAATTTCACAGGCCCCAAAATACAAAACCGTACAACACCTGGGACCCACCTGGCACAAACGCGACTGGCTGATTCACAGCGCGCCTCACTACTGTCATTACACTTAATCCCAGGCCCAATTTCGTCATTCAACTTTTCTCCACCAACCTTTCCCCTATAAAATCCAACCTCACAACACAATT